CATAAGCAGCTTTAGGCACAATGCCAGCTTCCCACAACCTCTTGTACACATCAAGCTGAGCCTCAGCATACGTCCACAGATCACGAGCGGGACCGTAAGAAGCGACATGATACCTAAGGCGTTGATTCTCGGCCTCCAAGGCCGTAATCCGATCCACCACAACCTGGGCCTCCCGCTCATAAACGCCGATGGGGTCCTCTAGCACCGCCTCCCGGAAAGCCGCAGCGGCTCTCTCCAGCCCCTGCTCCCTTTCATGAGCGCGATTTTTCATCTCCAGCGCCTCGACCTTCGACAAGGAACCCCTTGCTTGTTGTCTCAAGGCAGGGACCTCCGCTTCCAAAGCGACCACCTGCCCACTCAAGGCCTCAGAGGCCTCCACCACGGCCAGTTGACTTTGGCGTTCCCTCTCGGCCTCCATCTCCTCGTCCTTACGGCGAAGTTGCTCCTCAAGAGTGTTTACCCTACCTAGGGTCTGCTGCATTAGAAGCTCTCGCCTCGCCAGCTCTTCGACCAACTCCCGGCTACGGGGGTCGTTCCTCAGGCACTCGCGCATCTCACGGCACCTATCCCGGTAGCGGCGGTACTTCTTCAGCGCCCGTAAAAAGATCCCCGAGCGAACGTTGGCTCGGCGAATACTCTCTATCTCCAAAAGATAAGTCTGCAAAGCAAAGGCAACGGTTAGAATAGGAAACAAATCAAAGCAAGAAGAGAACGGAAGAAGGTCATCACACGTACCCTAAAACCCATCACGGCCGCCTCGGTCATTAATCTGACGTCCGTGTCGTCCCTCAACGACCTACTTTCTTCCTCCGAGCACAAGGTTGCGAACAGCGGCACCAAGTTATCCTCCTCAAGCAACAAGTTCTGCTCAGTAGGAATCTCAGCATAGCGAAAGGGCCCCTCTGCATGCACCATCGAGTTGGTAAGGCTTTCTTGGAATATGCGGACGTCGTCAGGATCCAAATCAGACTCGGATTCATATTCCTCTCCTGTGACGCCCCTTTCTCCCTCCGCCGGCTGAGAGGTTGAGGCTCCCGCCCCCATCAACGGGTTGGCACTTACTTCTCCAACTAAAACAGCTGCTGAGGAACCACCTTCCCTCTCAACAGCTGGAACTGGCAACTGAGTCGCTGAAGCGACGGTTTCATCACGGCCTGAGCCGATCGGGGCAACCCCCATTGTGTTTTCGCCCTCAAGGGCAGGCGCAGCCGCCATGTTCCCCTCCGCATCTGACGGTGGGGAATTCAAACATATCACCTCTGCGGCAGGCGTAAAGATGGCCCTACATCTGACCAGCAACCTCTCCTCCTCCTCCTCATCCTCATCCAAAGGTGACCCCACCCTGGGGCGGACGACACCTGAAGACGCCTCGACCCGAGGTACGGATCGTGTAGGGGAGTGAGCCACCGACAATTCGACAGAAGTCGCCCTCGGAACTGGATGCGGCATCGGTATCGTAACCAGCCGAGTAGTCACACCCGACCTGCGGAAAGCAAGCTGAGGAGCCCTCACGCGGCGTGCCCTCCCTGATCAAAAAAAGCATAGAGTTAAAAGGAGAAAATTCAGCACAACAAAACAAAAACAATACAACAATTCAAACTCTCACTGGAAGCAGGCCTATGGCCGTGCCTGTTCCAGAAAGACAGCCACATGCGAATCCCTATTGTCTGAGGGAGCACGGCCTCGACCCATTCGCCAATACCAGGTAGTGGAGCCGGTGGTGCCCGCCTAGTTACAAACACGAGTTACAGTTAGCACTTATCAGAGCAGGGAATAAGAAAGGACAGAAAGCAGAATCTGATGAGTGAATAACCTACGTGCATGGTTCCAAGTCTCCGGGAACTCCGCAGCACCCGCCACCAAATGCTTGGTCCGGATGTAGAAGAAATGCTCATAAGTGCGATAATCAGCCGTATTATCTAACTCCGCAGTCAGGCCCCTCACCCCACAAGGAGCCAGCTGAATCATAGTACCACGAACCCTCTGATGAGCATATAGAGTCTGCACGTGCCGCAACGTAATTTCCCTTCGGGCCAATTCCGCGTACTTAACAAGCATAGAAAAAATCTTGTAGAAGGAAGGAGCAAGTTGGCCAGGGCACACCCCGTAATAGCGACAAAAATCCACTACCAACATCGGGAGGGGAAGACGGAATCCCAGCCTGAAAGGATAAGTGTAGAAAATGCAATACCCTGGGCGGTCGACGTGGACCCTCTCTTCGCTCCTAACAAGGGCAATCTCGGCAAAGCGAGGGATATCCCATTGCTCCCTCAATTGGGCAATGCCCACCTCCCCCATCAATGGAGCCTCATTTACCTGATCTTCCCCCTCATCGGCGGTGAAATCAATCACTGGGCCTCTGGGAAAACAAAGAGCATCGACCACCGACGGGATCCCATCGATCTCCGCCGATTCAGTAGCCCTCACCACCGCAGGTGACCCTTCAGCCACCGGAAGAGTTGCCGGAGTAAGGTTTGTGCGAGAACTGCTTGCCATTATAGATTAATAAGCAAGAAACGAACATGATTCACCAATAAACAACAAAAGTGGTGATTGAATGAAAAATGACGAAGAACAGCAAAGATTAACGAAGAACAAAGAAGAGGATGAACTGAGAATGAGAGAAATTGCTTCTTCTGAAATCTTACTTAGACGAATAACGAAAAGTGAGAGATAAATGACACAACTCCTTGTTTATATAATGCAAAAGTGACTTTCACGAATTCCAAAAGCCATCATTAACTGCCTGACCAACCGCGAAACGGTTCGAATCTACAGTAATGTACACCATTATGACAGACACCACAAAACGGCTTTGCAACCGCCAATCGGCACTTCACCTTCAAAATGGTTATAGCGACCTGAAAATGGTGAACGGGCGTCCCGTACACCTCCAAACGTTGAGCGTTACCACAATATACGTGGAGAGCGCCCATACTCTCGGCGGCCTCTGATAAGAAAATATGGCCTCGGTTGAAAACATCATACGACCATCTCCCACACGCAAATGGCTACGGCCATCCCCCAAATATGAATTGCTACGGCTATCTTCAAAGTAAAAATGGCTACGGCCATCTCCCACATGCAAATGGTTACGGCCATCTCCCAAATGCAAATGGCTACGGCCATCCCCCAAATATGAATTGCTACGGCTATCTCCCAAGTAGAAATGGCTATGGCCATCTCCCAAATTCGAATGGCTACGGCCGCCTCCCATATGCAAACAGTTGGGGGTTCTCGACAAAGTGTAACTGGGATCGTTAAACTCGAGTACGGCCAAGACCATCAACGTAGCTAAGGTCGTCGATTTCAGTATTATAACCTCCGATGCATGAATGACCACGGACATCCTAGGTCACAACCAAAACGGCATTCGATCCCCCCCCCCCCCCCCCCCCCCCCCCCCCCCCCCCCGAATTCCTTGAGCTATAATCGGCAAAGTCCGCTTACCGAGCTCGGCCAGATCCCGACCTCAATAAGCGGAGGGACTAACTGTATGGGTCAAAACTTGACTCCACGGTAGTTAACAGAACCAACCCGTTTCCAAGTCTACTTATGATTAACAAATGGTATGGCCATTCATTAATAACGTTACCCGACGTTAACTGCTTGGATCAGCAAAATCATAACCTATCCACCCCTCACGAAGGCGTCCTTCGACGTAGCCGCAATCCCCCAGTGCCAGCTGGCAAAGTTCATAACTATAAATACTAAGAGAAAGAACCCTAAGAGGGGGCTGCTTCTTCTTCATGACTATTCCTAGGAAAAGGGAAACATACCATAGAACCCCATGAGGGGCATAAAGAACACCATTGTAAGGTTTTGAACCTTTCCATGGAGAGGCAGACCAAATCAATCTTATCAATAAAAGCTCTATACTTATTTCTCCTTAATTCCCATATATGTTTTTCGTATCTTTCTTTTAGTCCTGAGATTTATTATGATCTGCTATGATTGACCCTTATCTTATTTAAACTGTTTTATGCTCACAAAGTATATGATAACTTTGAGCCAAACAAGCTTACTAGGAAGGATTTTGCAAATTTTAAGCTACTCATTTTCCCAATTAAAAAAAAAAAAAAGAAGAAAAAGAAAATTAAAAAGAAATAGTGTTCTTGATTAGGATACCTATAAAAATGGTTGACTTTCGGACCGCACCTTCCATCATTTTTCATTTTTTAGAAAATTTAAATAAATTCTATAACTAATACCTTTGTAGTCAATCAAAAACGCCAAATTCATGTTTATTATTGACTTTCGGACCATTGACGATTTATTAAAATATCTATATGAAATATGTGCCTGAATTAAATAGTAACGATTTTCCGACAAATTACATAAAAAGGGATTTTCTTATTTTCAAGAATATGATTTTCAGGAAAAAGTTTAAAATGGTAAAATGTCAAATTAATTGGTCATAGTATCAAAAAGGTAAAAATAGCACGGGCTAGCCAGTTTTCGGACTGATCATTCAAAAATAGTCAGTGTTTGTAAAATTATTGAAAAATAGCTATTATTTTACTACAACATGAAAAGTTCCAGCATAATATACTGGAGATCGGTGCACCTGTGTGTGAACTTGCAGCATATTATATTGGACCGGTATATTATACTGGAACTCCAGTATATTACAACAACAACAACTACTACTACCAGTATAGTCCCACAAAGTGGAGTCTGGGGAAGGTAATATGTAGACAGGCCTTACCCCTACCCGAAAGGGCAGAGAGGCTGTTTCCGGTCGACCCTCGGCTCAGGGAAGAAAAGGAAAAACAAAAGCAAAACAAAAACAAAAGAGCATTAGTAACTCCAACAGAAATCGCATAAACAATTATCTAAACATAAGAACCATAAATAAACTGGCATGCAATAATATCGAACAGTAACTACCATAAATAACTACATAAGGGAGACACAATCCAATACACAAATTATCTGTGGATAGCCCTGCCAAGCCTCACCTAACTCCAGGAAAGGGGTACGAAAAATTCTAGGAGTCCCTATCCTACAACCCTGATACTAGACCTCCAGACTTTCCTATCAAGGGTCATGTCCTCGGAAACCCGCATTCTAGCCATGTCATGCCTAATCACCTCTCCCCAACACCTCTTAGGTCTACCTCTGCCTCGCCTCATGCCGACCACCGCCAGCCGCTCACAACTCCTCACCGGGGCATCAGGACTTCTCCTCCGCACATGCCCGAACCACCTGAGCCTCGCTTCTCGCATCTTCTCATCCACTGGGGCCATCTCCACCTTCTGTCGAATAACTTCATTCTTAATCTTATCTAACCTGGTGAGTCGGCACATCCACCTGAGCATCCTCATCTCCGCAACCTTCATTCTCTGAACATGGGAGTTCTTCACCGGCCAGCACTCCGCTCGATACAATATGGCAGGTCTAACCACAGCTCTATAAAATTTCCCCTTGAGTTTCTGTGGAACTTTCTTGTCACACAGGACTCCTGATGCAAGCCTCCACTTCGACCACCCTGCTCCTATACGATGAGTGACGTCCCCGTCAATCTCTCCGTCCCGCTAAATCACCGACCCAAGATATCTGAAACTGTCCCTCTTGGCGATGACCTGAGATCCAATCTTCACGTCCCTGCCTACTTCGCTCGGCTCGGCGCTAAACTTGCACTTCAGGTATTCTGTCTTAGCTCTGCTTATTTTGAAACCCTTAGACTCGAGAGTCTGTCTCCATACATCTAGCATCTCATTAACACCGACCATCGTCTCGTCTATCAAGTCTATGTCATCAACAAATAGCATACACCAAGGCACATCCCCTTGAATATGTCGGGTTAGAGCATCCATCACCAAGGCAAACAAGAGAGGGCTAAGCGCCGATCCTTGATGGAACTTCAGTATATTATGCTGGAATATTTTCTGAATTTTGAACAGTGTTTTCGTTCAGATTTATCTTTACATAAAAAGTGGTTAAATTTCGATTACTTTTGAAATTGTGACCATTAAAGCGAGATTTTTCGAACAAAACTAGATTAACCGAATCCCAAATCAAGTATCGGACAACGGGTGAAAATATAAGAAAATATATATATGAGCTTAATCGAGGGGATCCAACTGTCTAATTTTCACATATCTTTTTCAGTTTTATAAGGTACAACCACATATGCATCGAGATTACTGTCATTTTCCTCTTTATTATTTTTGTTCTTTTATTTATTTATGTTTATTTATTTATCTTGTTGAGTCTCCATTTTGGGAAACATAAACAAGCGGACAAATAAGCAGATTCCTCGTGTCCTAGTTGGACAATTAAAATGGGGTTTTGACATACTTACCCACAAAAACAAAACTATTTACCCTTGTCTACCCATTTGTTTTC